AGATTATATTTTACTTTGAATACAATAGAAAAGTTTAATTTATTAATCCATAATGTTATCCATAGCCCATAGGTGATGAGCTGATTAGAGAGTCACTTTCAAATTATATAAGAAGATTAGTTCAGCGATTTCACAAAAAGTTGCACGTTTATAAATCATTTTGGACACTCCTTAAAAACCATGGAAAGTATGTAAATTCTTTATCATATTTATCTTGTCAGTTGTCAAACTAGGAAAAAGATCCTTAAAAATCTTTGAATATGAATTCACATTATACTTGACGTCTACAATGATACGTATCCTAAAACTTTATATGTTTGCAACGTAATTAACAAAACAAATGGAACAATTATAACAGACGAGACGAGTAAAACAAACGAAACATATTTTTCTTTAAATGACTACATTCAGTCATTTAAAACTAAGAAATTCTAACTAACTTTAAACAAAAAATTGAATGACTTTTTAAAAAGGAATTGTTCTCATGAAAATAATATTATATGCATTTTAAGATTATTTCTAAAATTTATTCGTACAAATTTTAATTTGTAGCAACCTATCTACTATTTTTCAATTATTTACCAATCCCACACTTGTCTTAAAACATAACATATCTCTTATTGATCATATTTAACTCATGGTGATTTAAAAAAAAGGAAACATTATGAATCATCTTATCATTAAAAGACCAAATCAATTTTCAGCCAGTAAAAAAGAAAATAATTTCAACAAATTTAATGAATTATTGGTTGTATTCCCATATCTAACAAAGTTTCAAAAGTTTGTAGTTTATAGTAAAACAAATGGAATTGGTAAGGAAAAATTCCCAATGGAAAAAATTTGGTAAAAATCTTGAAAATAAAGAAATTACGAGATCGCATGCGTGTCATCAAAGGTTCTTTTCACTTTTAGGCTTTGAGTTGTGTTGTAATTTGATTGGCGCACGTAAGTCTTTCGTATCGCGCGATATTGTATAACTATGTGTCCACGTGGTTAAGATCAACGGTCAAGATTTCTTCGTCCAAATAGAGGAGCGATACGTCACGCCATTCAACAAGACTCTTCTTTCTTCATTTTGAGTTTTAAATCTGCCCGTTTAAAAACTCGGTCAGCTACCCGTAAAATTAAATGGAAAT